GAGAGAGAGAGAGAGAGAGAGAGAGAGAGAGAGAGAGAGAGAGAGAGAGAGAGACTTTTGCGAGAAATTGTAGTTGTGATCAAGGTGGGGTGGAGAGACGTAAGAAGGAGAGAGGAGGGAGTGGAGAGGAGGATAGAAGGGTGAGAAGGCCATATCCGATCCCGGAGAAGCTCTCGTAGCCAATGGAGGCATAGTGTGAAGGGATTTGGGCCATTCTCCGTGCTGCAATCCGATGCAGTGAGTGGGGTTTGGCAAGATCCTTCCAGGTGTAGATGGAGGCGGGAAAGAAGGTTACGGGAGATGGTGTAGGCCCGGGCCAAGATTCAACGTGATCAAGAAGGGAAAGGAGGTGCGAAGACCAGTACTGACCGGAGGGCAAAAGCCAGCTATCCATTTATTCCACAATATCGACCTCACAATTCCACCCGGAGTTATCCTGGCAGCTTCAGCCGGTTTAGCTTACAGGCCTGAGCCCGAAAAAGAACCATTGCAGTTGGTTGGCTGCAAATGTGCCAAGGACGTCAGCAGGGATTGAGCCCACTACCTCCTGAATGCCATTTGGACGCCTAACCAACCGAGGTAGGAGTCCACCGGTAGCTCCTTCAGACAGATGCTACCAGCATAGCCCATACCTACAAACACACACAAAAAGAAAAAAAAGGAAAAAATACGTCTTGTCACCCACGCCCCAAAAGAAAAAAAAAAGAAAAAGAAAAAAGAGGCTTCGTGTCCCAGTGACCCTCAAGTGGTGGGTAGCTTGCAAGGGTCTACCCTCAAGTGGTGGGTAGCTTACAAGGGTCCCCCGTATAGGCTTAGGAGTAGGGGTAGGCAGGGGCTGGGTCCCACCAGCAACGTGGATCGAACTAGGAACCTGAATCTGGATAGGTTCTTGGCGGAGATGCAGAAAAGCTGATCAATCACGGTTTTCGGTATCTGTCCTCAAACGAGTCTTGATTCGGGCGTTAGATCTAATCCTCTGTGCTAGTGGGACCTCGCCCCAGGTAGTGAAAGGTGATACAAACAGACGCAGGAAACTTTTTTGCTTTTGCCTTTTTTTTTTTTTTTTTGGCCGGAACGGATGACCGGGTGCAACCTTCCACAACCGCTACCGTCTTCCCGAACACAACGCACCCTCATTTTTGACGCACCGGGCCTGAAACATAGCTTGTATACATTCGATATCAGGGTGCGTTGTGTTCGGGGCAAGACGGCAGCAAGCAGTACTGCATTTCGCGCCGGAATGTGGACGGGCTTTGAGCAGAGGTGCAGAAAAGCAGATCGATCGCGATCTTGCACCTCTCCGAGAAAACGTCCAGGTTCAGGTCTTAAATCAAATCCTCTTTGCTGCTGAGACCTCAGCCAGGAACAAAGCACAACGGCTGGAATAAACTAATTAGCGAAGCAAGCCTTCTTCTTCCCTTCGCCGGTGGGTACGGTAGGGCCGCAGGATTGGTCGATGGGAGAGTAGCGCAAGCCACCGCTGGGTAGGCGGCAGAAAATGCGCACAGAGCAATGCGCATGCGCATGCCAGCGCGGACGCAGAGGTTTCGTTTGGAGGGGAGGGGAAGGGGAGGGAGCAGCGGAAGGTGAGCGGAGGGGAAGCGGAGGGTGAGCGGAGGGGAAGCGGAGGGTGAGCGGAGGGGAAAGCTGTAGGGTGAGCGGATGGGAAATGGTATAGTAGAGAGGAGGGGATGATGAGCGGAGGGGAAGCGGAGGGGGAGCGGAAGGGGAAGGGGGAGTGAGGCATCCCGGCAGGCGCAGCTGCAGGTGCAGATTGAAAAGAATGCAGTGCCTGATCTTGCTGACTTGTCAGCTGCAGATTGTGGCTTTCGTTGGCTTGGGGGGGGGGKGGGTTGTTGGGGGACTGTCGTTGTCTTCATCTGCGACGTGGGAGATGAATCCTTCAGTGCAACGAAGATGGAAGATGGGCATTGTGCCGCCATAGCCAGGATGTCAAACTCCCGTCCTTCAATGGTTCGTGTCGTCTTTCCCAGGTTTCCCTCCTCCTCTCTTTCCCTCCTCTCTTTTTCTCTCCTCTCCTCCTCCTCCTCCTCCTCCTCCTCCTTTTCCTCCTTTTCCTCCTTTTCCTCCTCCAACTTTCGTTTGGTTGTCTGGTGCCTCCTCTTTTTCTCCCGTTGTATCGTCTTTTTTTATTTTTTTTTATGTTTTTATTTTTTAAATTTGGGGCGTTCTCTCGTCTATCTTGCTATCCTTCTTCTTTGTCTTTTTTTTCCCTCTTTTCTGGTGTTTCTTGTTTATATATATCTCTCTCTCTGCCTACGTTTTACCGGGCAGTTCTATTTGCGTCTTTCGGGTCCGGTCGGGCCGTCATGAGGGCGCATTGTGTTCTGGAGAAGACGGTGGTAGCTCGTCTGACGGAAGGGGCCGCAGCTCGAATCCCGACTGACCGAATCCCGACGCCCGACGCCCGTTGATTGGGTAAAGACGTTCAAAAGGCCTCTGCATTACCAAAACAGAAAAAAGAAAAAAAGACAAAAAAAGAAAAAAGGAAAAAAAGAAGCCATTCAGGCTCAACCCGACGGGCACAACGGCGGGGAATGGATGGGTTGGCTATTCGGCATTTATCAAATAAGAAGCAAATCAGGAGATTAACAATGTAGATGGAAAAGCTTAAAAGAATTAGCCTTATTTCAGTTGCAAAAAAAAAGAAGGATACACTGTAAATAGTAATATAATCAGGCAAAATATATATATATATATATACAGGTACGGCAGCATACACAGACACGCTCATCGGGTGTTGCTCTTAGTATGCTGGTCCGTGGACCCCGTGCAGGGGAATGGACTACGGATACGGGACCTGACACTCTTTCTGTTTCTGACATTCTTCAACATCTTCGGTTTATTGTTACAAATACATATTTGTATACAGCGGATGGCCTTGTTCGTCATCAAGATGTCGGTATCCCTATGGGTAC